TAGCTAAATGGATGCACATTGAGGCGATGCTCTTAAGTGAAATAAATAGGGCACACGTGTAAATACTGAATAGTTTCTCTGGTGTGAGAAACTGAAAATGTAAATAAGGATCACAAGGTAGAATAGATAATGTGAAATAGGAAAAAAAGATGCAAAGGGGAAGTGGAAGTGGAAGGGGTAGGGGAAAAGAAAGAAGGGAATGGAATTAACAAGAGAAAAAAAATGGAAACAAAGTCTTTGTAGGTAGGGAGTGGTGGAGGGGTTGAAGAGAGGGCAGGTAAATGAGGAAAAAATAAGAACCAAGATGGATTATGTGAAGGTGCAAATTCCCAATGATGAATGTCATTATATTGTACACCTAAAATGTACCAAAAAAACCACCTCTGGTCAGTTTGGATCTCTGTCAGTGCCAGGTCTCTTAATGACTGAGTTATTTACTCTGATGATAACTTCTGAAAGTTCTGGTATAATTTTAAGAAAGGAGAAAGCTGAGTGCTTATATTTAGTTTTTGTGTGATACTTTACTTTTTTTCACACTTTATTATTTGTAAAGACTCATTTGATCCTTTTTTTTCCCCCCGGATCCGGAGGGTTTTATTATTTTTCCCATATAAATTACACAAGAACTTTATAAAATGGTACACAGAAAACACCTTATAAGTGTATAATTTAAACCTTCCCCTCATCTGATCCTTTTAACAAGTCTGTTGGAAAGCTGGGAGGTGTCACTACCTACATTTTTTAGATGGAAACTGGGTGGGACCCAGAGAAATGATTTGCTATGAAGTAGTAGAAGTAAGAGTTGGCCCAGGTCTTGTGACTCTTAAGTGTCAAACCATTTCTTATGGGCCATACTATCAGCAGGCAGTTCTTTTAAAAGTGTGGAAAATATCCAAATAGTCTTTCTTCCTGAGTAAGGGAACCTGACGGCAGTACGTTACTGGGAAGTAGTTTTGCATACTTTGACCTTTCTCCTTTTGGCTGTGATAGGCTTAACATTTGTTGTAAATGGAAATGATTATAGTTTTTCCTCAGAACTTTTGAGGCTAGGAAGATTCTTAAAAGCACTTTGGACTCAGCTTATAACCAGTTTGTTAATATGCTTAAAACAACAATGTAAAATTCTGTAAGAGTCCAAATTATTTAACTTGTTCCTTGCATTTAAAAAAGAAGTTTTATCTTGTGGGTTTTCAAAAGTTGTCTTATTTCTGACCTGGATTTTTTGCTTTTAAACTTCCATGCAGGTCTGCCAAAGTAGAGAAATAAGGCTTTATAAGAGGACTGCCTCCAAGCCAGTTAGGACTTACAGTGGTGAGACAGGAGATTAGAGTGTGGCAAAGCTGGCTGGGGAAGGAGGCCTGGCCTGTTAATTACAAGATCTCGGATACATGTGCAGAACAGTTCCCAAAGCCCAGTGGGTTGACTTCTCAAGAGAACTCCAGCAGGTTTTCAAGGGGATGGCCTAGGTCTCACCTCAGACTGAGGCGTGGGATCCCAGCACCCCCTCTCAGCACCCAGAAGTAGAAGTTCTCCTGGGTTTCCTTGAAATTTGGACAGTATAAAAGAAAGTCAGCCATGAGGAGCTGGTGCTGTCCTAATTTTTCACATTTCCCAGATGCAGCGTGTACTTTTATCTATGCTCTTATTACCCTCTTTATCTCTACTCGGCCCAAGCTTGCTCTGCAGAGCCAGTTTCTCCCCCATTCTTCACTTTTGCTTTCTTGAATAAACTGTGCCACTGCTCTTTGCTCATTTCATTCAATTCTTTGTTCGAGATGAGAAGAACCTGGAGTCTAACTCCAGAGGGAGAGGTGAGCGACCCTGAACCCAGTAATGTTTAGTTGGCCAATGACTTTTTAGAAGCAGGCTACCAATAACAGTGGGAAAGATTCAACCTTTTTTTTTTTTTTCCCTTGGCTAGTTGTTCTGCTTTTATGGTTCTGTCTGCTGTAATGATTTCTACTTCTAGTTACTGGCTAACTAGAGACATCTAAACTTTTAAAATCAGATGAGTATTTTTTGTTTTTCTTGCTGTACATGCATGCCAGGCAAGCACTCTGACACTGAGCTCCATCTGCCCGTATACTTTTTTTTTTTCTTTTGGTAATGGTGGCAAAATATAGCATGTTAGATATTCAGAGCCAGATATTTTTAAATAGTAATAAAATAATTAAAAAACCCACATTGCTCAGTTAGACATAGTGGTCCATCATCTATGTTGCCCAGATGTAACTTGAAATGGACATGACTTAGTTTTAACTGTGTGGTGTAGATGTTTTTAGGCTGTTTTTACATTCATAATTTTCTGAAAGTGAATATAGTGTACATTGATTCAGCTAATCTAAACATTCCTCAGAGTGTGGCTACTTAGAAATTTTGGAATCATCTTAGGACTGAGATTCTCTGGGCCAGGTTTGGCTTAGTCCCTTTTTTCATGATCCCAGCTAATGAGCTATAGAACTAACTAATCTATACAACCTGGGATGTTTATTTTGAAAGCTGGATAGAAACCGAATGCCTAATTCATAGTTGTTAAGGTTGATGTTACAACTGTTTCTGCATTTTTTATTTTTTATTTTTTTGTGGTACCAGGGATCGAACCCGGGTCCTTGCGCTTTCGAGGCAGGTGGTGGAACCACTGAGGTAAATCCCTGGCCCTTTTTTTCTTTCTTTTTGTGCATTTTGTTCTTTGTTGAATCTCAGTAGGTCAGCGGTGAGACCAGTGTTGTCATCGTTTTCTTGGACCCCTTATTCAATTCGTATGAACTTCAGTGTTTTTCAGTAAAGCATCCGAGGCTCTCGTGTACATGTACTGAGCTCTTGGATTTTGAACAGTTGTGGTCAAGGCCAGTAAGGGGCTTTAGAGGAAAGTCATCTGAGGTTTCATGTTCCAGCAGGGAGTAGAGGGGTTCAGGGGGGTTGCTCAGGTTATAGTTACACTCTTTATTTGATAGTGATTAAAGGTAGCTTTTTTTTTTTCCTTTTTCAAACAGCACTGGAGTTTGAACCCGAGCCCTGTGTATTGAGCTACATCCCCAGCCCATTTCTTATTTTTTCTTTTGAGACAGGGCCTCCTAAGTCACTTAGTTGCCCAGGTTGGGCTCGAACTTGTGATCCTTTGTCTCAGCATCCCAGAGTGTTGGGATTAAAGTCATGTGCACCTCACCTGGCTATGGTTAAGTCTTGTGATCATTAAAACCTATCCCTAGACAGCATGGGGGCGCACACCTGTAATCCTAGCACTTGGGAGGCTGAGGCAGGAGGATTGTCATGAGTTCAAAGGCCACCCTGAACTACATAGTGAGACCCTGTCTCAAAAAACAAAATACCCCCCCCCCAACAAATATCTATCCCTGTGACCTTTGAAAAACTAGGGCCTTGGGACTCAATTTTCTCATATAATTGAGATTAATAGTCTTTTTTTTTTTTTTTTTTTTTTTGGGGTACTGGGGATCAAACTCGTGTCCATTGCGCTTGCGCAGCAGGTGGCGAAACCACTGAGCTAAATCCCCGGCCCAAGATTAATACTCTCGAACTCACAGAGATGTGAGATATTGAAATATGAGACATGGAATATGTGAGATATTCTTGGTCTTTAATAGGAACACAGTAAAGTTAATTTTCTTCATTAGCTCAGTGGTTCCGCCACCTGCCTCGCAAGCGCAAGGACCCGAGTTTGATCCCTGGTAACAAAAAAAAAAGAAAAAGTTGATTTTCTTCCCATTCTCAGTTTATTGTTTTACTTGCAGTGTAAAGGCTTTATTTTATAAAAGATATCTTTCATGTCTGTTACCTTCATTTTTGTATAGAGATTACATTTTGCAATTTGAGGCTTAATTGCTTACATCTTTTGAATTCATTTTAAAATGTTGTGATAAAAACATTGTTTCTTTTTTTTTGGTGCTGGGGATCAAACTCAGGACCTTGTGCTTTCAAGGCAGGTGGGGTGCCACTGAGCTAAATCCGTGGCTCCTGTCTGTTTCTTGTTTGAGTAATTATCCTCCTAGAAACTTCAAAGGGAGTTCTGTATTTGTTGCTTTTTGCTAGTTTTTAAAAATTTTCCTTCATTCTTGAGTCTAGCTTTACCAGTGACTACTGGATAAATTGTTTTCTTAAACCTTGGTTATAATTTTTATAAACATTTTCTTTCTTTCTTTTGTTCCCTCCATGGTATTGGGGATTGAATCCAGGACCTTGCATTGAGTTATGTCCCTAGCCATTTTCAGTTTTTATTTTGAGACAGGGTCTCACTAAGTTGCTAAGTTGCTCACACTGGGCTTGAACTTGTGGTCCTCCTGACTCAGCCTCCCAGAGTGTTGGGGTTATAGGCATGAATCACTATCCCCTACCGATTAGTCATTTTGTTAATGTTTTGAAGTGTTAAGACATACTTTCTCCACATTTATGATAAATTAGGAATAAACTTGATTATTTTGCATTTTTATCAAGCAAATTACTTTTGTGCCCCCCCAAAAATCATGCTGAAGACATTGCAAATAAAACACATTTTTATTATTTTGTGAACTGAAGCTCCTTCAAGGCAAGATTCTTCTTGTTTTGTATTTGATGAAGTTCTTTGTGGTAGGTGACATTTCTGACCATGCTCTATCAGTCTCATGTTCATAAAGAACTTTCTTTAGGTATGCTTGGGCCATTGGTTGTTTTGTTTTTTTTTTGTATTTTTCCTGGAGATTGTTCTGATGCTGTTGGTATTTCTTATGTGCCAAGAGGGTGAGTCTGCAGTTACAATTTCCCTTCCATAATTATGGTATGTTGCTTAGAACCACATATAGTGACTGATAAAACATTTTACCTGGAAGCAAACTGGAAGAAGTACCCTGAAAAAAATTTTTTATTTTTTTTGGTACCAGTGATCAAACTCAGGACCTTGCATTTGCGAGGCAGGCATGGCTCCACTGAGCTAAATCCCGGGCCTTGAAAAAATATTTTAAATCCACTTAAGCATTTATTTCACTTTCTTTTTCTTTTTTTTTTTATAGCATGGTCCACAATATTCAAGACAGTGCTCAATTGTGTCCCGTACTCTCAGTTCAGTGGGATATAATCCAAATGAAAAAGTAAGTATTTAAAAAAATACTCTCAATGGCTAGGTTATAATGATAAAACTTTCTTGTTTCTACACTGTGTGCAGTGGTCAGATTAAATTTTATTAATGCTGTGTAATTATTACTCTAGCATCGTAACTTTTCATATTCAATCTTTGCTCCATTTTGCATTGTCAGCCACAACCTAGCCTTTTAATTTTGTATTTATATCTATACCAAAAATTGAATACATTTAATGTTTCCCTTTTAGCAGAATAACTAGTATAACATTCATTCTTAAACACTAGGCAGATTCTGGAAGGTTTTGATTAAACTATTGATTTTTTGTTTTATTTAATATTAATCATTTGGATTTAAGGCAATAATGCATGTTGAAAATTTCTGGGCAAAGGAATTTCAGCTAAATCTTGATACATGAGAGTGCTTGTGTGCAGTTATATCACATTTCATCAATCCCAAAAGGGACTAGAAGTGGAGATCAGAAATAAAACATGGTATACTTGTAATGTCAGCATCAGAGAGGTCAGGGAAGAGTTTTGGTTAAGAAGAGACTGTTCAGCATGATTGTTATGAAAGTATAACCGGTAAGAGTTATTATTTGAGAAAGATTCATCTGAGATACCTTCTAAACCATCAGCTGAAGTGCATAAAACATGTTCCAGATTCTTCTGAATATGGAGGTTTAGAGAAAGAAAATCTACATTTATGCAGCCCTACAGAAATAATGTGAGATACAATGGCAGAGCACATATAAATTCAAAATTTTCTAATAGCCGTATTAAAAAAGTAAAAATAAACAGGTAACATTAATTTTTTTTTTTTTTTTGGTACTGGGGATTGAACTTGTCTTCGCACTTGTGCAGCAGGTGGCGAAACCACTGAGCTAAATCCCCAGCCCTCATTAATTTTAATAATATATTTAACTTAACACTTAAAATGTTTTTTTGATATACAACCAGTATAAGTATTGAGACACTTAGATCTTTTTTTTGAGACAGAGTCTCGCTATATAGCCCAGGCTGGCCTTGAACTCACTGTGTAACCCAGGCTGGCCTTGCACTTGCAGCAGTTCTCCTGCCTCAGCTTCCTAAGGGTAGAATTCCACCATGCCTGGGTTAGATTTTGTATTTTTGAATTAAGTCTTCTGAATCCAATGTATCTTTCATATTTTCTGGATCGACTTAGTTTGACTAGCCACAATTGAAATGCTCAGTATCCTCATGTGGTTAGTAGCTACTATCTTGGATAGTGCAGGTTTAGATGGATTAGCTATGAGTGAAATTTGCTGTTATGAAATCTATAATTTATAAACCACCAGAGGCAGTGTACTTTGAAATTCTTTTGTATATATGTTGGTACAGCTTGTATCGTGCTATAATCTAGAGGTAACCAGCGATCCTAATTAGGAACACTCATTTAAAAGAGGCCACAGTCTGTAGGAGGGACTATTACAAGTGGTTCAGTCACCTTTCTCCCTGTAATCACTGGTAGCCTTCCTCATTATAATTTGTGTTACAAAGGGGGTCTCATTGATAAAATTAGTAATATTCAAGATATGTGTATTGTCTGTTTTAGAGAACTTTTCAGATTTTGTGGAACAATACAACAATATTTGACCTTTTGTTCTTATTTTTATTTTTTATGTTTTTGGGGTTTTTTTTTGGTACTGGGGATCGAACTTGGGTCCTTGCTCTTGTGAGGCAGGCGGCGGAACCATTGAACTAAATCCCTGGCCCCTTATTTTTATTTACTTTTTGGTACCGGGGATCGAACTCGGAACCTTGTGCTTGCGAGGCAGGCACCAGAACCACTGAGCTAAATCCCTGCCCTGGAGCAGGTTTTAATATTCTTGTGCTTGCTGACAGAGTTTGGTTTGGGACTTAATTTTTTGCTGTAATCTCATAGTGAGGTTTCAGAAACAGCTGACTCACCTCCCATGTTGATGATCACTGCTGATCATTAAAAACTAAATGAATAAATATGCTTAGCTGCCTTGGTTTGGGACATTTAGAGATAGGAGAACCCTTGGATCCAGTAAGAGGGACTTACTTTGTTGCAAATATCTGAAACCAAACCTGTTTCCAGCTATCTTTGCCATCCGCCTTGTGGTGGACTTGCCTAAGGTAATTGTGGAGAAGTTGGATGGCTTTCCCAGTCAGTGATGGATGTTTTTTCTTACTTATTGATTAGCATGATCAGATCAAGTTGGTGGCCTCACCCTTTCCTTGATGGTGTTTAATTGAACTTTCTCCTTCCAGGGACACATTCTGTCTTGAAGCAAGCTATTCATCAAATACTGATCTGTTTTGTTTATGGTTATAGTCTGAAGTGTGACTTGACCTGCTCTTTGGCAATATGTATTTGGTATATAAATTGCTTCTCACCTGAACTTGTCATTGACCTTTCACATTTTATTAGTAATTTGTATCAAGTCACTGAAACAGGTGAAACTTAATCATTACCAATTTGAATTTAATGGTAATTTAGTTGAAACAATACCAATTTCATTGGACCTGAAGGTAGTGTGAGCCAGTACTACATATACTGCAGTATGGTTTTCATAATAATAATTTTAGGTGGCATTAATCATATACTGTTTGAAATTTACATCATTACTGCTTTGGTTATATTAAGTCATGGTATGCTCTGATGTGACTATCTGGGTGTGAACTTAGGCTTTACCACTAGTTAACTTTGTAAGTGACTTAGGTAAGTGAATGGGCCTCACCAATCCTGTTTGCCCATATGTAAAATGAGATATTATTAGAATTGACTTTTTAGACTATTATGAGTATAAATAAATATTGTCTAATAGATGGGTTAGTGTACAGAAAGGATTTGTTGCAGTGGATAGTATAGAGAAAGCATGTGCCCTAAGTATCAGCTGCTTAATATTATGCTTAACTCATTTTGCGCATTTGGACACTTAGGCTCAAAATCCCTTGATCGTAAGTGTAAGCTGGATGCAGTCTCAAGCCTGACCTTCTCTAGGACTGATGGACTTGCCCATTGTGATGTGCCCCTTCTTTGTTCAGTAAGTGACTCAGAATCTGGAGTTCTGCTGTTACGCCTCTACCAAGTACCCAGTGGATTGTGCCAACTCAGTCCTGTTGGTCTCTGGGTGGACTGAAGTGCCAGCTATGATTTTAGACCCCAGCAGTGAGGATCTAACCCTACACAGTGAAAAGAAGGAAAGAGAGAACATAGAGAATGGATTTTTAAAAAATAACTTAAAAAAATATACTGAGGAAACTTTGTATCCCTGAGACCATCATTAGCATAGTTACAGAGCCCCTGCTTTTGACGCCCCCACCCCCATCTCTTCTCATACCTGAGAGCCCTTCTGTCTTCAAGGATTCAGGCTTCTGATTTATAATTGTGGTTTCATTTTTTATTCCCTTTAGTGTGCCTTACTTACAGTTGTCTACTTATAGCATAAAGTCCTAGTTCCGTGTCATTTAAGTCTTTCCATCATCAGGGCTTTTTGTCCCATAGCTTTGTTTATTATTATAACTGCCATACATATTGGCTGATTGAGCCACATTAAAAATTCCTGGTATTTTTTGGTGCTACCCTTTTCTTTTAATGTTGCTGCCTTTTCACATCCAGTTCACACTTTCCTTTCTCTGTATCCAGCATTCTGGACACAGCTTTAGTACAACCCTTAACACAATTTGTTATGATTATGCTACATTGTCCACTTGATAGTTACCCATAATTGTTGATGCAGATGGGAAGTTTTAAAGTTGGTTTAACTGATCTGTGTTTATATTCTTTGTTATGCTTAGCTTATCTGGAAGAATATGCAAGAGATTGTTAACTGTGGTTGCCTTTTGGGCAGGCACTGAGTGTCATTTTAATACTTTTAAAATTCTTAGCTCTGTATGTCTGTGCTTTATTTAAAAGAAAGTTTTATGTCTAGAAGATTACTTGAGGATTGAGGGTATAGCTCAGTAGTTGGGTGCTGGGCTGGCATGTGTTGCCCTGGGTTCAATCCCAGCACTGCCCACCCCAAAGATTAATTGACATGAGCTTTATTGCCTTTATCCACTAATTAGTACAATATAAATAGCTCTGAACAGAGATCTATTGGGTATAAATATTTGTTTTGATACAGATTTTTTTCTAGTTAAGCAGATAGGGGCATACTCCTACATTCCTGACAGTAGTCTGGCATGTGGCCCAACAGGGTGACAGTAGCTATAGCTAATATATAACTGTATTGCATGCTGGACACTATTTAGAACAATGTAAGAGTGTTAACTCATACCAATCTCACAACCTCTTGTAGCAGATGCTCTTATTACCCTTTTATTATCAGGAAATGAGGGCCAAGAAAGACTCAGAAGAATATGTGGGAGTGTTAGGGTTCCATCCTGAGCAGTTTGGCCTTTGGAACAGAAAGTAGAATGGGATTCTTACTTAATCCTTATAATTTCATCATAATTTGTTATACATATTTTCTCTAACAGTTGCTTAATATATAACTTCTAGCAATGCTGTTTGTGGTGCTTTTATCAGATATAGTTTGTCAAACACTTCATAAAAGCTCAACATTTTACCAGGTGTGGTGGTGCACACCTGTAATCTAGTACTTGGGAGGCTGAGGCAGGAGGATTGCTTCTAGTTTAAGGCCAGCCTGGGCTACATAGTGACTTGAAGCCCAGTCTGGGATACATAGTGGGCCCCTGTCTCAAAAAAGCAGAAAACAGGGCTGGGGATTTAGCTCAGTGGTTCTGGCGCCTGCCTCACAAGCACAAGGTCCCAAGTTCGAACCTCAGTACCAAAAAAAAACCCAGAAACCCAAAACACAACAACAAAAAACTACAATTTTAAATGCAGTTCAAGAAAGTATAAGGACTTTATTATTAGCCTGTTGAGCATGACACTGGGTCCAGTGGACCCATCCCTTACTTTTCTACTGTAAATTCGTACTTTAGTGTAATAGTGGCTGCAGTCTTTTCCCTGAAGGATACAGCAAGCAATCTTTGTGTTTACCCACTTGATATGAT